CCCGCCCGGCCCGGCCGGAGCTCGAGCATCACCGGGGCAAAATCCGTATTTGGCTTCGGGAGGTTCCGGTCGCACTCGACGGGGCACTCATTGCCGGCGGCGGTGGTCCAGCCGGGGGAGAACCTTGAGCGGTTCACACTGAGGCTGCCGGAGCAGGTGAGGAAGGAGGTGATGGACCGGGCCGAGCTGAACCGAACCGGGAGCTGCGCGGTTCCCGGCCTGCCACGTGGAGGGAGCTCGCGTTCGAACAGGGGGAGGTCGTACCGGAGGATAGAGCGGGAGGGAAAGTCCGACCGGTGGCTGTTCTTCTCGAGGGGGATGTCGATGAAGTTGCCCAAGGTGGTGGCGGAATCCGGCGAGGGAAGTGGCGGAGGAGGAAGCCGGGCGCCGGTCAAGATGCCGTCCTTCAGGTGCCTGGAGCCGAAGGCGGTCGACGAGGCCGGCCTGTTTTCGGCTGAAGCGGACGCGAAGTCACCGGTTTAGATGGTCGGTTGGAGGATTCTGCCTTTTGACCGGGCGTGGGCCGAAAGTTGAAGAGGACCGAAATTTAGGGGTTGATAGGTGGGTGGGTGGGACCCACCCTTGAAATTTCAAGTTTTAGAGAGCTGCATACAGATGGCAATTGGGATCCTGATGAGTGCCTTTTTTCGATTACGTTTGATTTTATTTTATTTTTAATTTTTTTAATGTGCTATTTTTAGTATTTTAACACGAGGCAACAAAACGTCTCCAGGTTTTTGGTTGCTATTTTTGCTTGTACGTTAATTTTTTTGATACACACATTTTTCACCATACTTTGTAAATATATAAAATAATATGTACCCTTTTGTATAATTATGGGTACATACATTGCTTTTGATTTTATGTGAAGGATAATAATAGATTTTGTTTCATCCAGAATTAACTTATTACTTGAAATTTATGGGGAGTATTAAATTTGCAATTACACAAGAAACAATATAAGTTTATGTGAAATTGCCAAAGTGAATGTTAAAACTCTTGAGGGAGAGTTTTGCCGCCCTTGTGGTCCTACCCGGCTCGATTCCGGATTAGTCGGTTCCCCTGTGAATCCGGAAACCGGAAGATCCCTGTACCAAAAAAAAAAAAAAATTGCCAAAGTGAATAGCTACAAATAAATATTAGGAACTCTTGAGGGAGAGCTTTGTCGCCCTTGTGGTCTTATCTGGCTCGATTTCGGATTAATGGATCTCCTGTGGATCCGAAAATCAGAAGGTCCCTTACCCAAAAAAAAAAAAAATATTAGGAACATAGATGAGTAACGTCTCATAAAAAATTTGGTACTGCAATTAATTGATAGCCCAACTTGTTTGATTTATTATTGGTTACTATTCACAAGTTTGGCAGTCAAATAAAATATTCACAAGTTTGGTCTAGTGTTGAATTTTCATTCAATGAAAGCGTTTTGACGCAATTTTTTTTTTTTTTCGTCCAATTATATACTATATTATAAGTCTTTGCCTTGTTTATATGTCATGAACTATATATCTGCATCACAATTGTTGACTAGCTGTTAATTAAAAATATTAAATTTTATCTTAATTGATTTGACTCGGACTCAGACTTTCTAGATGCTTGATTATAATATTGGAAAATTTTAAGGTCTCGAATTCCGTCGGAGTTTGTAATCGTTAGATTAGTTGATCTAACGATTACAAACTCCGACGAAATGATACCGTAACGGGACCGCATCATCTTTTTATAATACCTTCCATTTGAAAAATGTGAATTTTTGCTTGCCTTTTCGAAAAAATGTATTTTATTGCTTCCTTCAAATTTAAATCATTGTTATATTTTACTCTGGTTATTTGATTCTCTCCTTCAAATAAACAATAAATGTTTTTTTACTCTTGGTAGCAAGCTTCAATTGTTTGACGTGTTTTCAAATTTAAACTTTGTTTTTGTCCTCTCCTTTTGTAGGAAGCCTTGTTTGATTGCGTTCCAAATTAGATGTTCCATTAAAAGCCACATTTTATCTTTTATTATGTGTATGTGGCCGATAAGTCATATAAATACTTGTATGATTAAGATTATAAATCATAACATTAAGCAATATTTATTTGTACAATTAAGACGCTTCGTCATTTTTTTTTTTTTTTTTTTTTT